GCATATATAGGTTCTGGGGTCTGGGCTGTAAGCATCTCTTTGGGGGAGCCTTTTGTAGTTTGGATTCTAAATATCCTGTAAGAGCCCAAGAGCTAAAGGCGTTACAACCTGCTGTGCTGTTGGGAGCTGGTGGAGCACATAGGAGGTTGGCTTAGAAGGAAGCTGAGTCATTTGAGACTTGCTGTTAGCGGGTGTTGGAACTGCAGGCTTTCCCATTTTGCAGCAGTGATTTGAGCAGCTTTCCTCTGCCCTCTGCACCTAGTGACTCTGCCTTGCCACAGGCTCAGCCTGGAGGTGAGCACAGATGAAAACTCTGAGTCAGAGTAAACTGTCCTTATTTTTCCTCGCAGATGTTGTTCTGCCCCAGTGACAGAAAGTCAGCTGACTAGCCCGGGGGTCATTTTACAGCCTGCCATACTCATCTAGCTCACTTTGTAAGAAATCTGTGTTTGAAGCAGAGCCACACACTAGAACCAACCAACCATCTTTGAATAAAGTGTGTGCCTTGCCCATTAATCAGATCTTCTACAGCTCTGGGCCTGACTTTGGCGTAGAGTGGATGCTGATATCCATCAGCTGAGTAGGAAGGAGCCTAGGCCACATCCTGCCCTGTTCCATAAGCAGAGGAGGCTTGAAATGAATATGGTGAGTTTTGACGAAAATGCTCCTCAGAAACCGCTAGTCGATTTCAGGTGGGAGCCGTACCGGCTTTGGGGTGTCTAGAGGTCTGTAACGTGAGCCACGGCTGCTGTGGTCTGCCAGGCTTCTGGGACTTCTGTGCCTATGTTAGGTTGCTAGGATGGCCTTAACAGAGCTCTGCAGGCCGGAGAGCCTGAGCAGCGAACACCGCCTCCCAGTACTGGAGCCTAGTTGTGATAACCTGCCAATAGGGTTGGTTTCTTCTGTGGTCACCCTCCTGGGCTTTTAGATTTGGGGTGCCACGTTTTTGTTGTTGTTGTTGTTGACAAAAAAAAACTCTCAAAGAGAATAAGAGATATTTGAGCCAGGATGAGTTGTGTCCCAGGGATGTGGATACAATTTGCCCTGAAGAAAATGTTTCAGTGTATAAACAGTTTCATGAAGTTTCTTTTGTTGCAGAGGAAAATGAAGTCATAAGTCAAATACATTGGTGGGAACTGAGATTACAGCAGGGCAGGACGCCTCTCAGATTTCATCTCATTGTTAGCGTCAAGCTGCTAGAGCTTGGTGGACTGCTAAAACAATAGATTCCACGTGTCCGCTGCCGGTAGCTCGTTGGTGGGTGAGACATGGGCAGGCAGGAGAACCAAAGGTGTGGCCTAGGATTTGACTCTGGAGCTGAAGCATCTCATCTCCTTATAGTCCAGAAGTCCATCAGCCTTGTAGAATCTTTCAACTGGGAGCGGCCTCTGTTTTCTGAGAACTTCAGTTCTCAGGCTTCTGTGGTGGTCTTCCTTCTGGGTATAACTGTCTGTTGCAATTTCTTTTCCTAAGCCCGCCAGTATTTTTTTAGGTTTGACCCTGTCACTAAAGTACTGAGCATCATAACATGTGTATAAATTTGGACCCGGGCACACTTCAGCCCATAGGCATTCCCTGTGGAGGAAGCTGACTTAGGGATTGTCAGAAATAGAGCCAGTTGTGATATAACCCTTTTGATTCGTATTGTAGGTTTTGTACAGACCTCCCAGGCTCAGGCACTTGGCCTCTTTGTCCCTGTAAACCTGGGCTTTCTGGGATCAGTGGGAATCCTATAAGACCACACACATAGCACCTCGGTATTTGTTGGTGGTAACTGGAGCTGAAGGACTGAAATCCCACATGAGGGACTGTAGCAGATCCCGCCCAACTCTTTCCTCATCTTGAGCTTGACATACTCAAAAGCTGCCAATCTTCCTGGCATTAGTTCATCTCAGCTGTTCTGTCTTTGGTGTGTTGAGAGTACAGGCAGGCCATCCGGGGTGCAGAAGGATGGTCCCTGAGACCACGTGGGGTAGGTGAAGTCCTGCTTTTGAGGTAACAATGAAAGCGCATAGGATGGCACAAGTAACAGCTCCTGTTTCCGGGAAAATAGCCACAAGGTGCTGGTGAGGCAGGCACCTTCAGCCTTGCTGGAAGCAGGCGTTCTTTTCGAGGTGAGCGGTGGAAAGCAGGGGAGAATGATGAGCAATTAAACGTGCCCCTTGTTTCAGAACCTTGTTTTGTGTAGGAAGACTTCCTGGAAGTACAGTTTGACCCATCCGTTCTATCCGAGCCCTTGAGTCCATTTTGGCATTCTAGAGTCACCTGAACTTGGGATCTGGTAAGGTGCTTGCTGCCTCCTCAGTGTGGATAATGGATCTGTCAGCAGTGTCCTTAAGTCAGTGGTCCTCAACCTGCGGGTCACGCCCCCCCCCCCCCGCCTTTGGGGGTTGCCTATCAATTTTTTTAACCTTATGATTCATAAAAGTAGTAAAACTATAGTTACGAAGTAACAAAGTTAGTTTTATGGTTGGGGGTCAGCACAACATGAGGAACTGCATTAAAGGGTCACAGCGTTAGGAAGGTTGAGAACCACACCCAGAGGCTCTGTGTACTGTGTTCTGTAGTGTGCTCTGTGACCTTGGGCAAAAGCTTGTCCTGAGCTAGGGTGAGTTTCTTTAGATTGTAGAGACAGTGACTGGACTCCTGGAAGACCCCAAGAGGATGCTGGGAGTTAGAACATGGTGCTGAAGCCAGGAAACAGGAGTGCTTCTCATTCTTTGTTTTTAAGTGGAAATAGTCTCTCAGGACCTGTCTAAGAGGGTGGCATAGGGTGAGGCCGCTGAAGTGCTCAGCCCTCGCTAACCTGTGCTTGGAAGCTTCATCCAGCTGTACTTTGCCTGAACGACCAGCAGGGGGTGATATTTGCCATATATTGGCTCTGCAGGTGGCTGAGGTCCAGTCCCTGGTGTACGACCAGCAGGGGGTGATATTGGACACATATTGGCTCTGCAGGCCGCTGAGTTCCATTCGGCAGTGCAGTGTTCAGTGTCTGCTCTGGTTTCCTGTAAGGTGTAGGTTTTCATTAACAATGCGATCCAGTAGGATGACTAGGCGGGCTTCGTAGACCGCTGTGGCCCTCCAGGTCAGCAAGCCCAAGTACTGCCCACAACTTTCTGAGGGCTGAGTTGCCAGCTACCTAATGCGGTGCCGTCATGTACCTGGGAGGGTTTGGACTGAAGCTCAAGCTGGGAAATAAAGGACTGTGAGCTTCAGGAGCTTCGTCTGTTCCAGTTGAAGCTCTCATCCTGGGCTAGCTTGTCTGCACTCTGAGAGTGATTCCAAAACACAATGAGATCTGTTTTGTATTCAAGCCCGAAAGTTCAGTGTTGACTCGAAATCTGAGATGCTGTGGTCCAGGGAACATCGTGAAATGATTGGGCAAAGAGGTCATAAATAAAAAGTTTCACGTTTTTTATTTGATTTTAGCTTCTTCATGTTGTGTACCCCAGGCTGGCCACAAACTCCCTGTATATTGGAAGACAACACTGAACTTCTGATTCTCCTGCCGCCAAGCCTCATAGCTAAATCTCTCAAGAGTCAGGTGATGGTCATTTCATATGCTGCTCTTTCTGATACCCAGTGTGAGGACATGGGTGAGACAGTCTGTTAGCCCAGATTTGTGAAAGATGGAGAAGCCACACCAGCAGAAGTGCTAGGATTTTGTAAAAATATATTAAGAATGACTTAATATATTTGTTGAACTTAAGTGTATTGAAGAAATAACTTGTTGATTAGAAAACACCAATATATTGGTTGGTCTTTGCCAGTTAGTTGTAGAATACAAAATTTGCTGTAATTTCAATAATGTACCACAAGGTGGCACCAACGTCAACTATCTTAGCCACCAGGAAACGTAAATCCGCCATTCTACATGCAGCGAAATCTCACAAATTCTTTACTTTGTAACTTTACTCTCCAGAGACAGAAACTTCTGTTCTGCTTTGTAGGAATTTTATTCAGTAACAATACATTCGCACCTTTTCATTGTAAAAAGTACTGGGGTCGTTTTCCACGTGGTTTCTCCTAAAGCCTCATGCTGTAGCCCGGTTGACCTATTTAAGTCCTGTTTTCCTTTAAGGGAGTCAACACAGGAAGAAGTTCATAATGATGTTCCTTATTTTTGATAGTAAGACTTTAATATTTGACTTTGTAATTGCTCTTGTTTCTTAGACTTAAGGTTAGATCAACCCAATTTTTAAAACAGGTTTATTTGTTTTTGTTTTATGTGATTGGTGTTTTGTCTGCATGTGTGTTTGTTCACCGTATATGTACATTGCCCTCAGAGGCCAAAAGTAGGTGTCCTGGAACTGGGGCTACAGATGGTTGTGTGGGTGCTGGGTGTGCTCTTCACTTCTTCCAAGAGCACAGATTTCTAGAAAGTCTCAGGAAACTGAAATAAAATGCTTGAACTTAAAAATTAAAGCTACTTCAAATACTGGCTTATTTTTATAAGCATCTGAATTAATGCAGTGTGTTAAATGCTGTCTCCTGTGTGTGTGTGCATATGAATAGTGTTTTGACTAAGTATGTAAATTAGTGTGGATTTACTTGTCATTTCACTCATCTTTTACCTGCATTCCCTTCCAGCTCTGTGATTATAGCGGCAGAAAAAGAAAGTTTCTTATTTTATGACCTGTGTAGTAAGGAAAAAAAACTATTATTAAAAAAAAAAAACGCACCTAAGTTTTTAATATCAAGCTTTCTTTATTCTGTAGTAAAATAAATGTGGTAGAGAAACAACCTTGGTCAGGAAGATCTTCCTACGACTTCTGGGCTCAGTTTCTAAGCTAAAAGTTGAGAATACATGTGACACAAAACAGTGGGCCTATGTTTGGCCATTTCAAGAATATAGAAGAAGGTTTTGTTGTTTTGTTTAGGTTTTTTGTTTTGATTTGATTTGATTCTTTTTAATGAAAGACCTTTAAAGGAATGCCTATTTGCTTAAAACGAAGCATGACCAGATATGACAATCTTCTTTCTTCTCTTCTCTCCCTTAGATTGGAATAATTGGTGGAACAGGCTTGGATGATCCAGAAATTTTAGAAGGAAGAACTGAAAAATATGTGGATACTCCATTTGGCAAGGTTAATGTCTGGCTGACACAGTGTTGGCTTTGGCATTGCTTTTTATGGGCTTCATTTCTTTTTTTTTAATCAAGAGCAATGTTGGTTTTGTGTGGACAGTTGAGAGATATCTGTTCAGGCAGAGCCAGTAGTCCTGCCTCTGGGTTTCATCAGTTCAGGTGTCCATGAGACCACAGGAGAGTATTGTTTCGACATGGCTTTTGAACACACAAGTGGCTTCTCGGATTACATTTCTAGAAGCCAGGTTGCTCATTTTCAATTCAAATCTGTTTCTAATTTAGAGACCAGGTCACACCACGGTAATTTAGCAGATGGGCTGGTGACTGATGGATGGCGAGTCAATCTGAAGAGACGTTTTCTGCCCCAGAGCCGTGGGATGGGAACAGTTGGTAGGATTGTAGGGAAGGCTCCTTAGGCTGGTTGAATAGGGTGTCTCCATTCCTAATTCCAAATTGCTTCCAAACACCAGCATTCCTCTGACCCTCTTGAGAAGAGCTTGCGCCCTGGTCACACCCTCCTTTTCGGCCTGGTTCTTAGCCTGACACGGGCATCTTGCTGGTAGCCTCAAGGGCTTTCTTACTCATCTCGGTTCTTGGATTTTTTTCCCCTGTGTCACTTCAAGTCACCCCACGGCTGCCCGAGGCCCAGTCACTACAAGCAGGCTCTTGAATCACTGAGCTCTTGGTGCTACCTGTCAGCCTTTGACTTTCATGCCAGTCTGCTGAGAGTCTTCTGGGGCACTTGCTACAAAGCTCCTGCAACCCTCAGAGCCTGCTGAGTCTGTGCCCTCCGAGAGCTCAACCAATACTGGTGGATGATGATGTTGCGCAGTAAAAACCTAAACTCATTTTCCTCAGCTGTACCTCCAAACTACATTTCCACCGAGCTGTTGTGGTTTAAAGAGTCACATTTTTAAGAACTGTTTATGCATGTTTTGAAATTACTAAGCTGCAGCTGTTTATTTTTTATTGCATGCAGCCCTCTGACGCCTTAATTTTGGGGAAGATAAAAAACGTCGATTGTGTGCTCCTTGCAAGGTAAAGTCTTTTAATTTGGCTCTTTTGTTTGTTTTGGTTTTAAATATTACTACTTCGGGAAATATGAATGTTGTGGATATGAATTATATGTCTGTAGAGCCAGGACACATCATTCGCCTTTACTTAACACATGAGGTTCTGAGATAAGCTCAGATTACAAGTATTTAGGAAGTCAAAGATCTCATTCCCCAATTTAGTTTGTAAAATAGGTCAGTTGACTGACATTGAAGCTTCAGTTTCTGTCCTAACAACAAAACAAAACTGCTGGCGATTTTTCTTTCTTCTCCTTATCAGATAATAAGATGCTTTGTTCATGACCAAGTCCTTGTGTGGTAAGTTGTATTGCTGTGGAGAGGAGGTTTCAGGTCCCTGAACCAGTCCGGGTTACCCGTGCTTCTACACTCGCTCCCAGACAGGATGAGCCGTGTGCACTGCTGCACGGAAAGCAACACCAGAGAATGCCCTTGACCACGGGAGACCTCCACAGCAGCCCAGGCTAGCAAGCAGATCCTGGAGCTTGTCGGCAAGATGGCAGCGTGACTCAGGAGTGATGTCTAGAAGCCTTCTGTGGTCTAGCAGTGAGGAAAAAGCCTCAGGCCGACCCACGCTTGAGACGTGGACTATATGGGACACAAAGAAAGGATTCTTCAAAGCTTTGTCCTCCACAGGGAAGTGGAAGGTTCTTGGGAGCCAGCAAAACTAAATGTAGTTCTTAATGGTAGTTTTTAATTCCCTCGTATGGATTTCAGACAGGTCTCCTTCCTTGGTCTGTAGTTATTGCTGCAGAACTGTCTGGGTTTTTTTTTTTGTTTTTGTTTTTTTGTTTTTTTTTTTCAAGCTTAGGGAAGAAACAGTTGCTTAAGTCACATAGGTGTTTAATTTCTCCTGGAAAAGCCAGCCCCTAGGAAAATATATGTGTCTCTGTATAATGAGGGCCCCTACTCCTTTAGGAATTATCTATGAACTCAGACTGGAAACTTGGGGTGCCGTGTTGGTCCACAGCTTGTTAGCTTTCAAAAGAAGGCATCAAAAATTCTTTTAAAATATAAACAGGGTAATAGTGAGGCATTATTTAACAACTCTATAGAGCAGATGGATATTTCAGTATGTGTTTTACTGATGGTGGAAAATTCTGGCTTCTAGTGGGCTGGGTATTCGTGGAGGCCTCAGGGGAAGTAAATGAGAGAGCTTTAGACCGCAACAGTTGCCTCCTGAGGCCCAGAAGATTTTACTTAAATGCTTGGACATATTTCTGCTCTGTTCTAAATGTGACTACTTGAATGGTAGTCAGGTAGGTGGTTATTCAAATATGTATGTATATAAAGTAGATTTTAAGTGTTCTTTTCAACACTAAGTAAATATGTAACAAACAAACCTTTCAAACATTGAACAAAGTCAGGCTGTGTGTCACTTGCTCCCAGCACATTTTGTCTTATCGCAGGCAAAGAAATGAACTCTTGACAAAACTACTCTGGTGGAACATCACTTATGTTAGTTATTCAAGAGGCCCGGATAGCTTCGGCATCTTCATAGAATATTGCTCATAAGAACATTGGAATGCCATGCAACCAATGTGAATTTTAAAATTGATTTTAAGAACTGAGCCATTGCCTGGAATTCCCAAAGTGGGTATCGATTCTCAGGTTCATGATTATGTGTTTCAAGTGCTTAGATAATTTTAACCAAATGCATTTGTTTGTCCAACAGAGTAAACTGCTTTCCTGATGGGTGGTACTGAGGAAGACAGACAAGGGCATTGCTCTTGTGGCAGATTATAGTTTTAGAAGTTAACACCAAAGAGACCAGTCCAAGCATTACTGTAGTAATTAGGTGTGGCATAGACACAGTGCCTAGAGTACATACTTCTTGGTCTTGGTGCTAAGATCTAAAGACGGTCAAGAGCCTGGGTGACAGTTAAGTATGGAAGCAAAGAAGGCCAGTGAGCCTGTGTTAGGAAGGCCTAAATAAACAGAAAGTGGTTCATCAAAGTTCTGGTAGCTAAAACTCAAAAGGTGGAGGAGTTGGTTCCTCTGGGGATTGTGAGGAATCTCATGGTCCTTTTTGATATATGCTTAGTAATAATTTTTTTTTGTTTGGTTGGTTGGTTTTAGCTTTTTAAAGATTTGTTTATTTGATGTATATGAGTGCTCTATCTGCATGTACACCTGCACTCCAGAAGAGAGCATCAGATCACGTTATAGATAGTTGTGAGCCACCATGTGGTTCCTGAGAATACTCAGGACCTCTGGAAGAGCAGACGGTGCTCTTAACCACTAAGCCATCTCTGCAGCCCTGGTTTTGATGTTTTGTTTGCTTGGTTGGTTGGTTGGTTGGTTGGTTTTTTTTGAGACTGGGTTTCTCTGTGTAGCCCTGGCCCCTTAGAACTCACTCTGTAGAACAGACGGGCCTCAAACTCAGAGAAGTTCCTGTCTCCCAAGTGCTGAGGTTAAAGAAAGGTGTATGCCGCCACTGCCGGTATTAACAGTCCCTTTGGGTCTTGTCATAGGTCTGATGTGCACAGCATCTTAATGAAATGGCTTTCAACCTGTAAACCCTTTGAAAAAGTAATGCCTACTTGGTTTGTGGCTATAAAAAAATGTCTGGTGTATTTGGAAAACTAATGCACTAACTAAGGAAATTGGAAATTAAGAAGGATAGTCTTAACAGAAGAAATGCTTTTTGTTACTGTTGTGGGTATTAATATTTACTATTGATTTATCCTTTAGTTAATCAGCGGTTAATGCTACTCCAGCTGTATACCCAAATCACCACACAGAGACTAGGATTATATAATTAACCTAGAGCACAGTGCTGGGCAATAGTTACTCCATCCTAAACCTCCAAGCTCGCATAGCTTCCTACCATTCAGATTTCACCCATTATACTTAGTCATATCTGAGGCCCAGTTCACTCCTCTTGGTTCCAAGTTCTCTCCTGCCGACTTCTGCTCCTCCATCCTTCTTCCTCTCTCTCCCCTCCGGACCAGGATGTCCCACCCTATCCTCTCCATTACACAGCATTGGGGCTGGTTGTCTAATTGACAATATAGAGAACAAACGGTGGCATGTTTACACAAACTTGAGACAGGTGATGCTTAAGCATCACAATGCAATGTCTGGATTGAAACCAAATAGTGGGGTAGAGAAATCAGCATTTGAATGAACAAGGGTAAATTGTATACATTCCACAAGAACATTATAACAACAGTTTTACACTATAGCTTTGGGCTCATCTTTAACTGAGAAACAATTATATACAAAACATTTTATGTTCTATACTATGTATAAAACATTTTTGGATAAACATTTATTATCTACAGAGTCTAGAAAACATTCAGGTAAAATAGTGGCTCCCTCTTCTATAATTATGCTTAAAGCCCTTTGTCTGCTGTTGTTACAGTACATACACTGCTCCATTTGGTGTCCATGTCGTATTCCCCATTTCTCGCTTTTGTTACCAGGTAAGAAACGGTCATGCCCATCTTAACATAAATGCTGTGGGCCTCCTGGGTCTATGGTCTAAGTTGCCACACTTCTAGAAACTTGTGCTTTCTCTTTCTAGCTGTTTCCTACTTCTTGGAAGAGTAGTAGCTCTCTGTAGCATTGTCAAGTTTCAGTGGAACCCAACTTTTGCCATCAGAAAGTGACATTATATTGAACAATACATTGGAAAATTAATCAAAATAACTTTTTTTTTTTTTTTCAAAAACAAAACAAAGAACCCTGTTTCCAAGTACAGTCACGGCCTGTGGTACAGGTCGGAGTCATATCTACAGTTCAGGGCTGGACGGTGGCGTGTTCCTTTAATCCCAGCACTTGAGAGGCAGGGGCAGGTGGTTCTTTTGAGTTCAAGGGTAGCCTTGTGTACAAAGTGAGTTCCAGGACAACCAGGGATTACAGAAAAACCGTGCCTTGTAAAAAGAACTTTGGTTCAGTGGAGCCCACAACAGTGTCATGAAAGAGCCGATCTGTCCTCCAAAGGCAGCAGGAAGTCATAGATTGAACAGTTGCATAGTTTATTCATTTAGGCAGAAGGGATTGGAGGAGGCCCAGCAGGAAGGTGGTCTTGCCCTGTTTCTTTGTAACTGTTTAATTCCCTGCTCTGAGGGCTGATGCCCTACTTCAATCTCCTTCCTTAGACACGGGAGACAACACACCATCATGCCTTCAAAAGTCAACTACCAGGCAAACATCTGGGCTTTGAAGGAAGAGGGCTGTACACATATCATAGTGACCACAGCTTGCGGGTCCTTGAGAGAAGAGATCCAGCCTGGTGACCTGGTCATCATAGATCAGTTCATTGACAGGTAAGTGGCGGAGTGGCCTTGTAGCTCACCGTTTTCAACTCTGAGGGACGGTGTGTGGGAAACGTGGGGAGACAGGAAGAGCAAAGGCAATCACGTGAAGCTTTTCATTGTAGAGGTTTTATGGTTTTTTGTTTGTTTTATCTGTTTTTTTAAACTGAGCTGACAAATAGGAATTATATATTGATGAATATAATTGATGTATGGTCATTGTATAGTTCACCTATCACTTCACATACACACCTCACAAGTCAGTTTGGATGCAAACACTGATTTTTTTTCCCACTATATAATAGATAATACCGCATTCCCATGCCATACAGGAAATTTAAAAAAACCTACTCTTTCTGCTCAACTAAAATGTAATATCCTTTGACCAATTATCTCCTCAGCTTCTGAGTCTATGCTTTAGATCACACATGAGTTCGTGCATTGTCTTTCAGTGTCTTGCTTGTTTTGCCTCACAAAATTCCTCCAGGTTCATTCATGTTGGTGTAAATGACCATTGACTTGGTTATGGCTGACCAATATCTGTTGTTGATATATCACATTTTCTCGATAGGTGAATGGGCATCAGAGTTGTTTCAATGAATTGGCCATAGATAAAGCTAGGTTTGCAGGGATCTCTTTAATCTTCTGAATTAGATAAATCAAGGTTGGGGTAGGTTCTGCTGTTTTCGCTTTCTTTGAGGAACCTCCAGTGGATGAGCTAATTTACATTTCCACCAATAGTTTATAAGGGCTTTTTGTCTTCCTTCTCTATCTCTACCAACCTTTGTTGCCTGTTTTTCTTTTTTTTTTTTTTTAAGATTTATTTTATTTACTTATGTATATTAATTTACTTATGCAAACCAGAAGAGGACACCAAATCTCATTGTAGATGGTTGTGAGCCATCATGTGTTTGCTGGAAATTGATCGCAAGACCTTTGAAAGAGCAGCCAGTGCTGCTCTGAGCCATACATACCTCCAGCCCGTTTTTCTTGATGTTAGCCATACTGACGAGGCTAAGATAAAATCTCACTAAACATTTGATTGATGTTTCCCTGATGGCTAAAAATGATGAACATTTATCACGTGTTTATTAGTTGTTTCTACTTCTGAGAAGTATCCATGCAGATCATTTCCCTGTTTATTGATTGGATTTGTTGTTTGGATTTTCTTTTATTTACTTTTTTATATATTTTGGCAACTCCTTGCTGGCAAAGATTTTTTCTCCCAGTTTGTGAGTACTTTCTGGTAATGTGATTTGTTGTGCATGCACTTTTTAGCTTGGTGCAGTCCTATTTGCCCTTCGCTAACTGGAGTCCTGCTTTAAGGAAGTTCTTGCCTTACCCAGGCCTATATCTCAATGTGTTTTTCCTCTGTTTTCCTCCAGCACTTTTCAGGAATTCAGGTCTGATGTTGAGATCTTTTTTCAATCCATTTTGAATTGAGTGTGTGTGGAGGGCATCTCAGGGGTATTTAAAGAACATAATTATTCTTCAGTTGTCACTAAGGTGATCACAGAGAGCAAAATATTTGACTAGAACTTTAATACCAAAGAAACCTACTATCTTCTTCCTTTTTTTTTTAGATGAAATGTTTTTTTTTTTAATTTATTTAATTTTTATTTTATGTGCATTAGTGTAAAGGTGTCAGATCCCCTGGAATTGGCATTAGGACAGTTGGGAGCTGCCGTGTGGGTGCTGGGAATTGAACCTGGGTCCATTAGGAAGAGCAGACGGCGCTCTTAACCACTTAGCCATCTTTCCAGCCTCACCTATTATTTTCTCATTTCACATTTTCCCCCCAAGACAGGGTTTCTTTGTGTAACAAGCCCTGGCTGGCTGTCTTGGACTCATTTTGTAGACTAGGCATTGTAGTTGAGCTGGCCCTGCTAGTGTGGATGCCATTGAACCGGGCCCCAGGCAGGAGAGCAGGCCTTGCCCCTTCGCTGGCTTCAGCATTGGGTGAGCTAGCTGAGGCGGTGCTTGAGAACTTGCCCTGGTGATGTGAGTGTGGGAGATCTGGTGTGCTGACCAACCCAGCTACCGCCAGGCCCAGGTCCAGGGCTTTGAGTAGGCCCACCCCATCTATGAACTGCAGAGGCATGTGAAATGGCCAGTCATGCAGATCCGAAGCTACAGGATCTTATCACAGGGCAACAACAGGATGTCTGAGAGGAGTCCCTGTGAAAATCCAACATTGATAGAGTAGCAAAAGCCAGAGGCCTTGAACCAGACCAGTGACTCATTGTAGTGAACACTTACAAGTAAAGATATGTGGACAAAAAGGTATACTGCGGGGCACACTGACACACTATAGCTTCCATAACAAGATTTTCTTATTATATCTAATTGTATTTTCTTTTGGAGTAATAGGAATTGCAAAGGCAGAGGGTGGATAGGAAAGGATGGGAGATGAGTGGGATTGGGGTGCATGATGTGAAATTCACAAAGAATCAATAAAAAGTCAAAAATAGATTTGTGTGTCTTTGGAGGTGTGGTGTCCTCCAAGCCCCACAGGACCAAGGATGAGGTTTCTCATGAAGTCAGACACCTCCTCCCTGCCTGTGGCTTGGCAATGGCCTTGTGTAAACAAGCTGGATTCTAAGAAAAGGCTTAGATGAGTTTAGAAGCATGGTTGTTTGGGGTTGCTTAGCCTTTGCCCTATTGTTGCTTACCAGCTTTATAGGTAATGCTTTTTGAGGGTTGATTTTAGAGTGTTGCGTAGGGGTCTTTCTGAGGGATTCTGCTGGCTTCTCCCCAGTGCTGGGGCATTCTGTTGTCTCTTCTATGTTACTTGTGACACTTGCTCCCTCCGTCTTCTAATCTAATCACTTTTAGATACTGCCTGTGTTAGGGTTCCTAATGCTGCAATGAAGACACCATGACCAAAAAGCAAGTTGGGAGGGGAGAGGAGTTATTTGGCTTATACTTCCAGATCATAGTCCATCATTGGAGGAAGTTGGACAGGAACTCAAGCAAGGCTAGAACCTGGAGGCAGGAGCTGATGCAGAAGCCATGGAGGGTTACCGCTTACTGGCTTGCTTCTCATGGCTTGCTCAGCCTCCTTTCTTACAGAAGCCAAGGCCACCAGTCCAAGGATGGCACTACCCATGGGCTGGGCCCTACCCCATTGATCATTAATTGAGAAAATGCCTTGCAGCTGATGAAGGCATTTCCTCAACTGAGACCCCGTCCTCTTCTAAGGACTCTAACTTGTGTCAAGTGACACACAAAAGCAGCCAGTACAGATACTATTATCTGGGTGGAAGAAATGTAATCCAGTAGAACCATTCAAGAGTTCGAGAGGCCCAGGGATGGGGACTTACAGCAATTTCTACATGTTTCCTTTCTTCTCTGTGCTGTCAGTCTTTGCTTTATCACTGAATTCGTTGATGACACAGGGAAGAAAGGATATATGCAGAATTGTTGATGTAGGTCCTTATTTTAAGGTTAAAGCGACATTTATAGTCACTTCTGTGTCTCAGAATACCAGGTAGAACAAGAACGCCAGTGAGAAGGAAGGAAAATGAACTTTGTATTTGTTAATACTAGCCTTCATCAGGAATGTTTTGCAGTTTAGGGTTTTGTTTTACAAAAAAAAAAAAAAACTGAAGATCAAAGGAAATAAGGTCATTCACTTGAGGTATCACGTGGTTTCTTTGAAGTGTGGTTAGCGTGTTAGCTGGTTGCACTTCTGGACCCTGGTTGGATACTGCTTAAAGAATGCAAAGACCCACCCAGTGAGCAATGAAGACAGCCAGCTTTTTGCTGGCTCTGCCCCTCAGATGCCTTTGTCCTTCAGTATCCTTATCTTCTAGTGGAAGAGTTTTGGGGGTGTCAGGTTCTGATGTGCTCCTTCTCAAGCTTGGTTTTGGCTTTTGTTTTTTGCTTTTTTTTTTTTCCAGCTTATCTTCTTGCAGGAAGAATAGGAGAGGCCTGGGTATGCTATTGCTTTGCATTCTGACTCATCAGGAAAGTCCCGCAGTAAACACATGGGCTGGTAGATTCTGCTGTTTATTTCACCATCCCAGAGATGCAGCCCTGCCTTGGGCTTCCCCTGTGATGTCATCGTTTAAGGCTGTGGTGAGGTGGGGGTATGCTCTGGTGTGCATGCTACCTCGTCCTCTTTTCATCTTGACCAAACAAACACGCCAGTGGAGCGTGATGGCTTGTACCTCAACCCTCAGGAGGCCACAGCAGGAACACTGAGTTTGAGGACAGTTTGGACACCTGCATTACATAATGACATCAACCCTGTCTTAGACAATAAAAAAGGGAGGAATGGCATTTCATGATGAAGAGTTTCCCAGGGGTTCTTGCATTGCTCTGCCCCATTCCTCTCAGAGGCAGGTCCAGACAAAGCAGGAGCATCCTGTTCCTTCAGCGTCTTGTGTGTCTTCCTCACTCACTCTGTGCTAAGAATGTCATCTTCAGTTTTATAAGGAAGCAGGGGGCATACTCTCACCGCCTGCCTCTGCATGCCCTTTCATCCATAACCTATGTCCGAGTTCTCCTTTTGTATCTAGCTGTGCTTAAAGTGAGGTCGCGAACCCCAAGAAGAATCCAGTGTAGTTATAGCCCTTCACAGTGTTACCACATGTCCTGTTGCAAAAACTGAGCTGTGGCGCGGGGGGGGGGGGGGGGGGGGAGGGGGGGGCGGCACCGTCCGTTAATTGCTGGCATGCAGTGATCATTGCCCCACTTATGCTCAAGGATGCAGTTACGCCAGCAAGTGGGCCTTAGGGGACTCAAATTCAGGTGACTCAAGACTGTCACCTGAGCCGCCCCTCATCCGCGGGCTTACAGCTCTGCCCACCCCAGTGAGATAGCTTGGATTTTGTAACCGTCTTCTGTTCCTATGCTCGCTAATTCATGACACCGCTGGGGCCATCCTCCCTGATCCTTGCAGGAACCGTCTGTCACTATTGTCTCTACATCACAACTTCTTATCTGCGAAAGCTGGAGCCCATCCTCTTGCCGGCACCCTTTCTGGACAGCGCTCCCCTTTTCTGCCT